AGATGATCTTCTGTTACACATGTTTGATTTGGTCAATATATCTGTTCCCAGGGACAGTTCTTGTAGAAATTAATTAGTAGAGTATATGATCTGCACAAGATATATCTAGAAAAAGACGAATAATATAATTAATATTTAGTATCAGAACATTAAAATGAATTAAAAAAAATGTAAATGAATTATATCATCTGAAGTATAATGCAAACAAAAATCATGCTAGTATATAAAACCCAATAGAGAAAAGCATGCAAGTAAATAAAATGAATTAAATCATTGCTTGATTATGATATATTTTATTCATTATTGTTCGTAGTAGTTAATAAGTTTTTTGTGAATATTTCTTATGTATTATTAGTTTGAACATTAGTAGTACCAGATTTCTTGTTTTGTTTTCGTCGTTCGAAGTAAAATACATTCAAACATAGATACCTATTAAGATAATAATTTACCTAACATTTTCTTGTATTTATTTTGTATTTGTTTGCATTGTAGTAGTGATCGCTTTGGACGTTTTCGTATAAGTTCATTTTTGCATCACGACGATTACGATTACCTACAATTAATCGAAGATCCATAGCTGGTGTATTTTGAAGACGTTCTGATAGACTCGCTGCATGTTTCTTTTAAATGGTTCAAATCGTTTTTCATGTGTATAGTGAAGGAATAATCGATCTACATAATTGATTGGCTTTTTCTGAATCTTTTTGACTAACTCTCGAGAAGTAGTTTCTGCCGTAACGTCCGTTTGATCGTTATCAACATCAGCTGTAGCTGCTCTTGAAGCTGCTTGTGATTGTGAAGGTGTTGGCTGACCGAGTATTTCGTGACGTAAGAGAATAAATTGATGTTGGATAAATGAATTCATTGAAAAAGTTATGAAATTGTTGATTAATAAAAGACGAAGGATTACTAAAAATTATTGACAAATAAAGATGAACATCATTCTAATAAAAAATATACACTAATGCTTACCCATTATATAATAACATTAACTTGATAGAACGTCGTTCATAATTAAATGTTTCAAATGTTGATGAATATCGTACAGCTCTTGTAAGAAGTGTTTGTATAGTATTAACAAATACATGTCG